GCCCCTCCCCCCCCAAAAAAAACCCCGAAAAAACCTGAAAAAAACCCAAAAAACCCCCGGGATCAACAGCCCAGCCAGGAATTTCGTGGCAGCGCCGCTGAATCCTTGGATTTCATCTCCGTTGGGAAGCGGGAATGCAGCGGTGGATTTTGGGAGAGTGGAAATTCCCCGGGGGGATCCAGGGGGGTGCTGATTGTTGTGGTTGTTGGAATTGGAGTTGAGCGGCTCCCGAGGGTTTGGGGGGATGATCCCAGGATCTCCAGGATCCCTCAGGATCTCCCAGGATCCCTCAGGATCCCTCAGGATCCCTCAGGATCTCCAGGATTCCAGGATCCCCCAGATTCCAGGATCCCTCAGGATCCCCCAGGATCACCAGGATCCTCCAGGATTCCAGGATCCCTCAGGATCCCTCAGGACCCCCCAGGATCCCTCAGGACCTCCAGGATTGCAGGATCCCCCAGATTCCAGGATCCCTCAGGATCCCCCAGGATCCCCCAGGATCTCCAGGATCCCTCAGGATCCCCCAGGATTCCAGGATTCCTCAAGATCTTCAGGATCCCTCAGGATCTCCAGGATTGCAGGATCCCCCAGATTTCAGGATCCCTCAGGATCCCCCACGATCTCCAGGATCTCCAGGATCCCTCAGGATCCCTCAGGATCTCCAGGATTGCAGGATCCCCCAGATTCCAGGATCCCTCAGGATCCCCCAGGAGTCCAGGATCCCTCAGGATTTCCAGGATCCCCCAGGATCTCCAGGATTCCAGGATCCCTCAGGATTCCAGGATCCCTCAGGATTCCAGGATCCCTCAGGATTCCAGGATCCCTCAAGATTCCAGGATCCCTCAGGATTCCAGGACCCCCCAGGATTCCAGGATCCCCCAGGATCCCTCAGGATCTCCAGGATTCCAGGATCCCTCAGGATCTCCAGGATCCCTCAGGATCCCAGGAGGAGGAGGAGGAGGAAGGAAGTGAAATTTTGGGGTTGAAACTCTTCCCCCCCCCCAAAAAAAAAAACCCCAACCAGCTCCTCTTTCCCCCCAACCCCTCTGGCACATCCAGGTGGGATTTTTGGGAAGGGTCCTGCCCCCCTGGAACAGCTTTCCCGAGGCTGCCAGAGCTCCAGGAGGGTTTGGATGTGGATTTTGGGGACAATTCCCACCCCAACACCCCCCCCATAAAAAT